TGTTCACTCTAGTAGTAAAACCTGCTCCCCCCGAGGAAGGTTCAAGGTGCTAGCTGCCCGTCTTGCCTCTGAATATACATATACTTTTGCTTGCAAGAGTTCAGGAGCTTACATCTGAACCAGGCAGGTTACTTTAGGTACCATTTGTGGGGTGAACAAAGGCAGAAAAAATTGATCTTTGTTTTTAAATGGTGGTAGCTAGTGCCATTCGTGATGTTTTTACACCTATAATTCTGGCATGGGTTGACTGTAGGTTATCTCCTATTCATTTAGAATAAAATAACGCTATACCTTTTATGCACGCCTGTCTTTTCCCCCTAACAAGGCCAAGTCTAGCTGGACTTGCTGATATTACCGTGTTAGCAAACTGCAACAGAGCTGCAATTTGTATCGGCAAAAGACTTTCTGCTGCTGTAACTTTCCTAGCTTCCTAAATGAAATGGAAAGTCTCCTTCTGTTGGTATAAAAATGTCAGTTAGGATTGTGATTCTTTGAAGTATTATATCAGGAAGGATTTATAACATAGAGCTGGTCTTTTAAATCAAGTGTTTAGCTTGAATATGTAAGATAGGCATGCTGAAAAACAGAGTAGGTTGAAGGGAACAGTTGTTTTCTGCTTTGAAGTTATAGTTAGGATGGAATTAACAACTGTATTTTTAGGAAAGGACTCTGTTCTACAGGATTGTTTGACTGAAATTGCACGTCAAGTTGAGGAATCTAGTGTAGGGCAAAAAGAAAGAAGGCCCTTCTGAATTTTGAAAAGCGTACCTCATATTTAGAAAAAATTGATGGAAAATAGTCCTGTGACTTTTCTATCCCCAAACCAATTTGTTCTGTGATTTACTGTAAAAATAGCTACTTGATTTTCATTATCCATTTTATAAATTGGTATGGTAATATTTTACTTCCACTTAAAGATGATGTTTTTTCATAGATGCCCAAGCTCTGATACCCGTAGTAATGTGAAATGGTAGGTTACTCTGGTTCCATGAGTGCTCATTCTGGCCAGACTAGGGGATGCTGGTGATACCTGGGTCTAAGAGGAAAGACCTAACACAAAGTTTTGTGATTTAGTTGAGTAACACAAGCTTTTATCTATTACAACTCATGACAGACCTCAGGCTGGACACAGCAGTAAATAATGGTCACAACCTCAGGACATTTGGAAACTTGAAGCGTATTTTGAAACTTGCTCAGAATTTTGATAATGTTTGATGAGGACTGATACACTGATAGATAAGCTAGGATGCGTACTAGATATGCAGCATTTTATCTGAGGCAACTGTCTGTTTCCTCTGCTCTGCTAATTTTGCAGTGATGCTTTTTATAGTTCACAACAGAAGGCAGATCTTGGATAGCATATAAAGCTCTTTGTTTCTGGCAGAAGTCATGTTTAAAAAAAAAGGCATATCTTTACAAAAATAGATTTTTATTATAACAATAATTTAAAAGAAGATTTTTTTCACCATTTCTGAACAAACAATATTGTAAGAGGAATTATCAGTAGTAGATCAACAGGCACAAGGATTGTCACGGCTGCGTTTCCCATTGCAGATGTTAGGTTCGCTTCATGTATCTACATTTTTACAAGCTATCTTAAAATGACAGCAGAGGTATACTTTAGAGTTTGAAGGAGGTAATTACTCAGTGAAGCTTTTTAAGATGATAAGTCAGAAGGAATAATTCTTCAATCTGTGTTTGCATTGAAAAGGTGAATCCTTACTTAAGGTTCACAAGCACCATCTAAGCAGAGGGAAGATGGTGAAGCACACAGGTGCCAGAGGTCAGAGCCAGAGACTCTGTGTGTTCACTTAAAAATATTCCCTGAATAGAGAAACATTTCCATTTGAGTGACCCAGTCTTGGAAGTACTTGTACATGCTTGCTGTCACAAGGGTTTGAGTAAGTAAAATGCAGATTTGAAAAAATGACGAGGTCGGTCTATTAAACTGCAGCCTGTCCCTGCTTCAATCAAGATAAATTAGTTTTGTCATTAATCAGAATAAGAAAACTCTTAGAATACTGTAACCTTCTCTATGTTAAAGAAGCAGCTGCAAAAACATTGTATATTCTTGGGAATTTCTGGAGCCCTAACATAGCTCAGTTTCTAGTGTTTATAGCACTATCTTAACAAAAATATATCTAAGAAAGTCTAATATGAATTGTTGTAAGTCTCCTTTAATGTAGGAAGGCTTTAGTTTCAAAGAGCATCTTTTAATATTTTGCAATTATAGTTTGCATTCATCTGTTTTAAACAAAAATAAAAGTCTGCAATATGTCTGTAAATGATAACAACTAAAACTTTGAATTTCTGAAATTAAGTAAACCAGTCTACCTGGGTGTCTAATAAAGTACTCTTTGTAGATGCCAAATTACAAGGATATAATCAAGTAATATAAATTATCCCACAATATAAAAATGATTATGGGTCCTAACCATACACTGGGATTTCATATGGCTACCAGGAGTTCCCAAATCCCACAGAAAATCAGTGAAATTTATGTGGCCACCTCCAGTATATTTCATCCTTCATTCCTAGTTACTTCAGGATACCAGTGAATGTTTTGGAGAGCAGCATTTGAGTACACTTTGAGACACTTTCACAGAGCCTGATTTTTCATGGACAATATACCTAGCACTCATAATCAGAGCTCTCCCTATGACTCAAGCTGAGTTCTCAGAACTAAGACTTCAGAAATCTTTTATTCCCTGACTCTTGCCCTTAATTAATTTCACTGTCTGAAATATAAAACTTCATCGTTGTGCTTACATGACTGCATTAAGTCTATTAAGTACAATTGAATCATTTCTAAAACTGTTTCAACTATTGCATAGAACATCTCCAAATAAAATATTCTAAATTGTAAGACATACTGAAAAGCTTCTTGTCCATATCTTCCCCATAATCTTAAAATATGAAAGCCAAAGCAGTGCAAACTTAGTAGGGTGATTTGCAGTCTTTCAGTCCTTTCTTCCAAGCTGACACTCCTTCTCCAAAGCTTTATTTTCTTCATTTAACTAAAGGCAAAGTTTTCCATAAAAACGGCTACATCCATTAATAAAATGGACAAGAACCTTATTTGCTTGCTGTAGAAACAGCAAGATTTAAGTGCAGGAGGTGATGTACAGTTAGGCAAAATAATTTTATATCTATTATTACTGATCATTGGATTGCAGCAGTTCAGAGTTTCACATACCCGTTTCTGGATGTCCATCTCAGAGAAGTTGAAAAGTTTCTCTATCATATGATTTAATCCAGCGCAAGTTTCAGGTTCTCATCTCTGATCCACTGTGTTCACCTTCTGAGCAAGACTGAGAACTTTCTTTACCTTTTTATGAAAATAAAATTAAAATTTGGGACACTGAAGAAAATTAAGCTAGGTCCATTAGTGTAGCAAAAACTACTTTTTTTGCATTGTCTGCCCAAACTTTTCTCATCCTTTCTTTGCTGACAAGTTATTTCCTATTACATGTTGGTAAGGTGTTTGAATCATTTCATCTTTATATGCCACACTTCAAGTGTAGGGAATAGAAACTTACTTCAGAGCTTTAGAAAAACCTGCACACCCTTCTTCCCTCTCTCCCCTCCTCACTTAATTTCAATAGTCTTGTTATTTTAATGATCAGTCAGTAATAAGCGATTATGCAGCAATACAGAAAATACCTGACAGGAGTTTACTTTCAATTACACTATCTGCTACAGACATAGTCGATTTTTAGGTATTTTTGCTTTTTGCAATGCTTAGCACAAGAAGGTCTTCATTTGTCACTAGAGGACCTAGGCATTATTGTATTGAAATAAATTATGATGAACATTCAGATATCAATGGTAATAGCAAAGATATGTTGTTAGATCACTATTCAGTCTAGCTCAAGTGTAGGCCACCAGCCTGACCTAAAGACTGCTATAATCAGCAAACCTAAAGTACTACCTGACATTCAGGTCCTTCCTTGGGATTTTTTGTTTTCTATGCTCATTGAGGATGCAGTATGAACTATATTAACTTCCTAAAATAGCCACAACTGTTTTGAAGATACTTTAGCAAAATACAGAACTTTTGACTCTGAATTCTGCAAACAGTGCATCAGCTTGTCAATAAGTTCTTTACTGTTCAATCTAACGTCAGACACTTGAGAATGATGATTTTTTTTTTTTTTTTTTTCTGGAAGAGAAATTTTGATGCATCTTAAGTCCTAGCTTATTCACTAGACATTATGATTCCTGTATCTGACCTAAGGAATCAGACAGGTGGTAAATAGTCATTGAAAGCCACTGCTTGACTTTTTTTTTTTTTTTCAAATCTTAATCAGTTTCCCAAGTTTAATAACACAGGTTTTGTTTCACTACGCAGACCTTACACTATAAAGCAGTTAGTGTGGAGACATATGTGGAAGTTCAAACCTGGGGTGCTTTCATATTGGTACAAATTGTTTCCTACCATGTGAAGTAGTTGTGTAATTCTTTCAAAAATTGTAACATTTATTTCACAGTACTTGTTTTTTGTGCCCCCTTTTTTCCCCTCTCCCCATTTCCATATTTAACTAAACATACCTTCTTCCCTAGAACCAGCCACTGGTACCACCACACTTGGTATGTTTTAAGTTGAAATGTTTCCTACAAAAATGAAACCCTTTTTCTTTTTCCGCTTCAATTATCTTCACTGAGAAAAAGGTTTATTACAAAGTGGCTGAGGATAAAAACAGACAACCAAAAAGCTCAAGTTTGAAGACATGTCTATGTTCATTGAGATAGCAGTTCAGGAGCAATTCAGCCTGAATTACAGCATCCCTGAAGACTGAATTTGTCCTTTTTCAGAGCTAATTCTCTTCATCTTTAATATTATTTGCTAAATACCATGGAAGAAAAGCATAATTTTAGCTGTGATTTGTACTTGTAGGTTGACTTTTGACGCAGGACACTTTGACAAAAGAGAAAATTATGGGGTAATAGAAAAGCAAGCTCTTCAGGATGTTAATCAGAATCAGTCTTCCTGTTAAATGTTTCCTCCCTCAGGTCTTGACAAGGTGATGGCTTTTGGAGGATGGAGGTTCTCAATGTCATCTGTATGCTGTACCAGATACCACGGCTTCTGTCAATCACTGGTGAGTTTGCCTTGCTTGCTGCAAGCCGTAATAGATGATTATTTTGTCTACTTCAGAGAAATTGGCTCAATGGGCTTTTCTGTTCCTAAGCATATGTCATCTTCCCAAGATAATTAGATGGTACATATCCTTTCTGACCTTTTGCTTCTGCTAGCCACCATTCTTTATTGCCACTCAGGTCAGAAAACCGGAGTATCCTAACCTTCTGGTACTCCTGAAGACTGAGTTCCTGATCATTTCTTGCTTGAAATGCATAAACAGCATAGAAGGTCTGAAAAAGGAAAGCCACAAAAATCAAAATCTGAATTCAGAAATGTAGCCACATCTTACCCTGTCATTGTATCTTAGTATGAATTCTTTATACAGAAAATGAGTAATAATGTATACGAATCAGGACACAACTACATGGTCTGCAAATGCTAGACAGACTACAGTGAACAGGTCCAAAATAAAAAATAAAATTGAAGGATCTGGGGAATTCTGCATGGGGAGGAACAAACTGCACTCTGAGACCCCATCACCTTACTATACTAGTAAGGTTTTCAGCTCACACCAAGCGCCTGTTTCTGTCTCGCCAAACAGTTTTAGATTGGATGGAGAATTGTCCAGCAAGGTTTCCTCAAGAAACCTAAAGCTCCTGCACTCAAATGTGACACGAGGCACTTCTGTGCCTTGCCGATCAACATTGCCACAGCTTTCTTGTCAATGATAAGTGGAAGAATCCCCCAAAGTGAGCTATTTTGCAGGCTCCTGCTCCATAGGAGAACCTTGATATGGGGTGGGGTAATTCAACAGCGTGTTTTCTGTGAGACAGGATTGCAATTCACAGTTTAACTGATTATCTTTTCCTACTTTGAAGCTATTTAAGAAAGCCAAAGAACAGAGGATAATGAATTCTCATGTCATACTGACAGATTAGTGCCAGTCTTTTCCAGTGTAAAAGGAAACCATTTCATTTATAAGCGATATAATTCTAGATTTGAAATAGGGACAACAAGAAGACAGGCACAGTGTGAATCATACTTACATCCTGATCATCCATATCCTGAAAAGCATCGGTCCCTGTGCCATTAATTGTGAGATTTTCACAGAAGTGAAGAGATGAGCTGCTGTCACTCTTCTTGTGACCCAGACTTCTTGTGCCGCTGTCAGTAGAGGGCCGTGAAGAGACAAAGAGGCTGATGTTATCAAAATCGTCGTCACCGAAGCTGTTTTCTGGTATGTCCTTCTGTGCTTTGGCTGGATTGTAAGGCCTCAGGAAGGAGGAATACACATACCCTTTAAGGACTAGACACCAGAATAAAAAGAGAGAAAATAAACTGCAAATTGCTGCTAAGACCATTTCAAAGCCACCCATTTTATGCAGCAGTCAGTATGAGAGGCAAACAGATGGGGCCAGAAAGAAAAGAAATCAATATCCCAAAGGGAAGCTGTTATTGGGATGTTTGTGCAGAGAACTTACTTCCTGTGTCAACAAGCCATCTGCTCGTAGTTCCGAAGGGGTCCTTTTGCTCCACAACAGCCACCAGTTCTCCTTCATGTAAATCAATATCAAATTCCTGCGTGGCATTGCAGTTGCGCTTAGCTTGGTATAGCAATTCTGTGCTGTACGTAGACAACAGCTTGGACCTGTGGCCTTCTGTCTGACGTGAGGATTCCAGCTGAAATGCAAAAAAATTATTCACTGGGAAAAACACTGAGGCCATTTCTAGGCAACATGGGTAGCAATGATTTTTTTATTCCTATATAATATCACAAAAAAAGGCATAATCCAAAAAGCTGCTGAGATGTGCTAATGCCACGTAATAACTTGCATGACAAGGCATTAGGCAAAAAAGTCAATGGTACCCAAATGTTCTACTTTTTGTGTGAACTTACCTTGCTAAATAAGGGCAAAATGCTGTTAATTGCTGAAAGCATATTCACTCACAGTTTGGTTAGAGGGCAGGGAGGGAGGTGCTGCACATTGATGTGATCTTAACATACCACAGAAGCAAGAGTATATGTGCCTTAGTGATGCTAAAAGGAATCTTTCAGCTTCTCCTGTAAATCTGCACTTGAGGTTTTTATTTTGCTGTAAACTAGACTTGTAAAAGCTCTGGAAACATCTGATAAGATTGGGAACCAGGGGGGACGCAGATTTCCTGGTTGATTTTCTGAATCCTGCTGTGGGCGTGTATGTGTGTGCATATGTGTGTGCATATATGTGTAACACCAGTACACATCACCACAGCTGAGGATGAGGAAAAAAAATGTTCTGAATTAGAAGACTCAGACACACTATAAGAGTATTTAACAAAAGAAGTAATCAAAGTTTACGTATGCAACTTTAGACATAATATGTGCTTAAAGACCTAAGGGTAATCAGAGATAATTTGAAGTGGATTTTCAAGATAATAACATGAAAAATGAATGAAAAATCTTCAGAAGTTACTGATCAATGGAACAGCTTCATTACAACAACCAAATTCAGAGCTCCGGTGTAAAGACCAAGCCCAAACCTCTAGGTGGCATAAAAATGGATTTGTTTCAAGACTGATCAAGGATGCTTCATACACAATTCAGATGTATGGCACTCACCGCAGAAGGGACAGGTTTCTTTTTTTCCAAGCTCAATTTTCTCTCAATAAAGGTTACACTGCTGTTTTCTTTTACAAAATTCAGCTTGTGAACCTCCTCCATCAACTGATTCTGCACTTCACAGATGCTTGAGGAAGACAGCTGCAAACACAAAGGTGGGTTAGATCTCATGAACAAAATGGTTTGGAGATTTGAGAGACCAGATTTGGTTTAATGGGCTGAACGCTAGGAATCAAGAAATCTGACAAGTTACTACTATTTTCTGCAGAGCCCATAGTGTGCTAGGTATGAGATGGAAAGAAAAGAAAGGTCCTCACTTAAAGAAAGTTTCTAATGATTTCTATTAGATTTAAAAGCCATACTAATATAAGTTAAATCATTAAAAAATATTCTAAACAGCGATGAAAACGAACAGCCTTGCTCTTATGCTACAAAGCCACCTGCTTTCAGATGTAAATGTGCATCTCAGCAGCTATCAGAGTGGCCAGTGTGCTGCAAGGCATGGAGAAGTTTACCCTGCAGCTGTGTGTTTGTGCAACTGGGTGCTGCCACCAGGTTAAAAATCGTTGGAGAAGCTGAAGCTCTGTCTGTGGCACTCTCAGTGCTTTTGGTCTATGCCTAACCCCAAATGTATTTGCTGATGTAAAGAGGAAAAAAAAAAAAAATTTGTAGGCAGAGCCTCACAGAAAACAATGCTCAATGCAACATCTTTCAAAACATAAAATAGTCAAACTATAGGGATGCAATTTCTTCATGCAGGCAAAGCTTTCATTATCCCGTTGAACACCGCAGCTGTATGTTTTGATCCTGACCTTGCTTTCTTAATTTTTCAGCTGTCCCTGATTATAAAGTGCTGTGTTCAATCCTTGATGGAAAGGAATGCTTCAGAATTGCCTCACTACAATGTGTTTCCTATCTAGAGTCTTGCTCTGGTTCAGGTGAGTGGATTTGGGTGTGTGGAAGGCATTGTTGCAGCTGTGTTTCTCAGGGGGTTCAAGTCCTCTAGGAAAAAGTACAACAAAACGGAAACACTGTCGGATTTTCACACAAATTAAAAATAATTTCTCAACTTCAGTCTTCAGGAAATGATCATAGTGCCCAGAAAGGGCAGAGTGGGCTGAAGGAACTGATGCCCTTCTGTGTAGCTTAGACAGGCATCTTTGGTACCTTTGGCTACATAAGTGAAACGATCTGAACTTTCTAAAATTGCCAGCATAGACAAGGCTATTCCTTTCTGCCTAGAGGTGTCTGCAGGAGCTTCTGCATCGTATTTGGGTTTAAAAGCAACTTGTTTTTCATAGATATTATTTAATCAGGTCTCCTAACATACTTCTCTTCTGCAGTCATCTGTGACTGCAGGTCTAGCAGCAATAGGAGTGTTCATGTAATTTCTTAGAATTTCTCCTCCTGTGTTTTCTGGGCTACTCTGGGTAGATGCTAAGAGACAAAGACTAAAATGCTAGCAGCTGCCTCCTTTTTGCCTTGCTATAATGTTCTTGCAATTACTGTCACTGTAGCAGCTGGAACAGCTGCATTAGGATCATTCTTGATGAAATGTCCAGACCTGACAAAACTTAAACTCAGAAATTAACCTTTGCTGAGCTTGCAAGGAAAAAACAAAACAAAACCTGACTGTGCTTAGCAGAACAAAAAAATCGGTGTGGCTTGTAGGTATGTGTCCTACATAACTCTAGCCAAACCATACAGAAAGAAAAAAAGACAAATAAAGGCAGAGCCACACCTGTTTGTAATGTACTTACTGGAACAGGCACCACCACAGCAGAATTTGATTGAAGTGCTGCAGACATAATATTCCTGAGGAGGGTGATGAAGCAATGCAGGCAGTTCAACACAATCTTTTTGGCTGCTCTGTTGAATATCTGAAGTTCTTCCACTAGCTGTGCATTTAGAGCCTCATAGTCTTTCTTTGCCAGGTCCTGCTCTTCTCCAGTTGACCTCTGGAGGTAGCTGTTGTAGTCTAACAACTTGTCATAGCGCTTCTGAATGAGCTTCTGTGGGCCTGAAAACAAGGCTTGTAGTGCTGAGAGAGGAGTCAAGACAAGCTTGTGCAGCTGAGCCATCTGGAAGGGTATAAAACAGACCTACTTATTACTTTATTTGTACAGTTCTTCAGACCCAGTAACAGGTTAAGCCTGATGGCAGCCTACCAAGCAATCTGTTAATTACTCTTCACAAAGCATTGCTGTCAGAGGAAGCTTCAAGCAGGGTCTAGAATGAGGTAGAATCTCCTTCGTAACATTGCAAAGGGGAGGTAAGAGTTTTGCAGCTTGAAGTGTCTTGGGGATGGAAATGGACCCTTGGAATATGGAGCCCACGCTACTGCCCTTAGTGTGTTACCTCTGAGGAAAAACTGGGCAAGGAACGGTGAAGTGGTCCAGTGAAACTGGGATTTCCATAATTGCAAGGCCCATGCCAATATACAGTCTAGAGGCAATGAGGTCTTGTTACATAGCAGTCTTGCATGCTACCAAAGCTATTTTTTTTTTTCTTTTTTTTCTGGAAACAGCTGTAACTCAATTCCTGTTTAAGCAAACACAGACAATCACTTGATTTGATTAAATTATGTTATGCTTGTTGGTTTTATCTCTAGTAATCAACAAAATTAGACACCTGGTAAAAAAACAAAGTCTTTCTCAGACTTTTCCATTAGTCTCTAATTGTCTCAAGGGATTAATATTGCATGAAATAAAATTTATTTTTGTAAGTCACTTGTTCAAATACAGCACGGGCTTGTAGTGAGTGAAACTCATCATCATGATTTTGGATGTTCTATATGAATTAAGTTGTTGGGTTGAATGTGAGAATAAAAGAGCAGTTGTCCCTCTACCCTCCATAACGCACCACAGTTGAGGACAGATCCATTTCAGCACTGGAATTGCTCTCCCAAGGCCAAGATGATGTACACTGGCTAGATAGTTTCTACTTTATTTCCACCTGAAAAACTAGGCTCTGGGTAGAGAACCAATTTTTGATGCATTAACAATTTTTCCAAACTGCTGGACCTGATTTCTGGAAGAGAAGAAGGCTATTGTGGGTTTCTGCCCTAAAATTTTCCCTAAAATATAATGAGAGGAAAGTATTCGTTATTGACAAATTCTCAAAGGGAAAAAAAAAATAACCTGAGCCCATTGCTGAGATCTCCATTGATAATACCCTTCCAGGAAAATGTGAAGAACACTACGGGTTGTTCAGCGAGAGTATCTACTACTCATTGTGCTATGTCAGGACAAAAGATTTTTTTAAAAAACCCTTATACATATGATAGAGAATCCTTGAACCTTGTAAATCCAAGACAGAAGTAAATAGATAATAAGCAGAAATCAACATGGTTAATAAGAATATCCACATTTAAAATGTATAAGATTAAGATTATTTTTTTTTAATTACATAGACTTTCAGAATAGCTGGGTCATGAGTCAATAGGAGTTACAATTTTTTTTCTGAAGAAAAAGTTTTCTGTTTCATCAATTGTGGAATTGCTTCTGGCTTTCTTTGATATTTCTGAGTATGGGGACATCGTCCATACTGGACACACTCATCATGTCAATGATAGAGGGGTGCTCTTCTGCAATTTATGTACTCATTCATTGTAAAGACATTGAAAAAATCTTTCTGATTATTGAGATTAATTTTTGAGATTCTTTTCAAATGCGGGAGCTTCAAAGGAAAGGAGATACAACATCTTACTTCCCTTTCATTATCTGGGAGGATGTGGTCTTTCAAAGATCCTTCTGTTTCTTAGCAGACTCTGTTTTCAGTGTTTTGAAAAGGATTGAATGGCTGTATTTTAGCCGGCACAAGCCTAGGAAAGTATAAGAAAACCTCCACCTCTGAATTTTTCCAGCCTGAGCAGCTGTTTGAAGAAGCAGCCTTGCCCCATTTTGAAGAGACATTTTAATCTATCTTAGTAGAGCCAGACATTAAAGTTCATTTGGACTCTGAAAGCAAGAGACTACTTGAAAAACTATTACTTTCTTTTTTTAATTGCTTTTTAATTCCTATGGGCTATATTCGGATTTTTTATTATTTCCCTATATGAAGGTTAGTAACTTACTTGGAAAGGTAATAAAGCTGAGATTTTCACAGACCTGTGATTCCAGGAGCTAATAGTTCATGAGCACAACAAAGACCTCCAAAGTCACTCCAAAACTGCAAGTATTGGTAACAAAAGTCACAAAGCAAAGATCTGATGCTCTTGTCTAAAGGTCGGGTGAAATGTGCAGATTTAGCACAAAGATTTCAGTTTAAAACCAGGAATTTAGCTTGAGAAGTTTTCTTTAGCTCTTGTAGGGAAAACACAGTGCGCTTACACTGAATTTTATCCTATTTTTTTACAGATACTCAGCCAAAAAAAAACACTCATCTTTCCCAGTGGATTACTAAGGGTTTTTGCTCTTTCCTGTCCTTGTCTTTCTCACCTACACCTGATATCTCACACATAAAGATAGCTGTGTAACACTGGACATTGCATTAACTTACAAGATCTTCACAGAGATTTGCAGTGTTGTTCCATTTTTTCAAACAGTTGTTGACTTCGTTGTCTTTGTATTGCAAGATTTCCTGAAGCCCAATTATATTCTGTGAAGCCAGATGTATAGAATCCTAAATGAGAAGATGGTAGCAAGATGAAACTGTATTACTATCTACTTTAATATACTGTATTCTCTCATGCAGATACTGCAATAATACTAATGGAATCGGAAATATTTTCCATTTCTGACACCTGTGCAGTTTCTGTGCAGTTTCCAGCCATTGTAGGATTGTTTACTGTGATAATATTTTCCTATGTTTTGTCTGTCTTCAATGTAAACTATTTAAAAATAAAGTTGTTAATGTTCAATAGAAAAAAATTATGCCCCAACTTAGTGAATGTCCCACTGGAAGTTAGCTACTGCTCAGCGAGAAGCAAGCTCAAGACTCATGCACCCTCAGAGGCCTCTTTTGGAGGACTCGGTAGGAGTGCAGGGGTGTATTTCACTTATTCTGAATTTTAATCTTAATGAAGAGTGCATCCGTTTGGATAAGGAACTGTCAGCACCATTCTGGGCAACAACCCTTGTTGGCTGAGCTCACTGGCCATCCCCTGTTTGTTGAACCAAACGAGGTGCATTTGCGATAAGCTCTGGCCAGCTGGCTATTGATCTCACCTACCTCTCAAACAGCATTTGTGTCTGGTTTGGGCACACTTACGCTCTGCAGGGCCTTGTGCCATCTACAAAGTTGGCAAGTTGTCCACGAGGGGGGAAAAGTTGATAAATTACAAGCCAGCCGACATCTTTGGAGAGAAGGATTAAAGCAAAAACATTTACAGCGCTTGAGCACTCTGTACGTCTAATGCTAGCCCTCGACACAGCCTCGCAACAGGATAAAGGAAGGAGTGCTCACATCCAAAACACGTATTTTAGGACATTTTAATTCACACGTCTGCAACTCAGTTCTTCCATTTTTAATGAGAAGCAGTTGGTGCTCCACTGCAGCAGATGTGCATGACCCCCGTGGTGGCTTCACACACTGTTTCAAAGTCGTAACTGTGCCACCAGCCAGCACCATCTTTTCTGCACTGCACCCATGGGTCTCCGTAGAGCCTGCTCGTGTAAGGAGAAAAATTCAGAAATTTGGGCTTCAAAACTTCTTTGACATGGGATCAGTAATGTAGCAGCAGCACGGCTCATTTGTTTAATATTGTTAATTAGACAGGCCTGTTTATAAATAATTGGGTGTTGCCTGACCAGTGGCAGAAATGTGTGTTAAACTGGTTATGGACATGGTTTGTGGCCACAGATTTCAGAATGTCTGTACCCACCTGTAGATGTTGTGAGGAGAGTGAAATGTTCTTCATGCACAATTTCACAGTCTTCTCTAAACTTCGAAACAACTTTTCTTCCTTATTAAAAGTTTGATCTTTCACCTAAAATAGATGTTTGCACTGTTATGTTGGCAGCCCTGAAGAGCTTGGCTAATGAAAGAAACATCCAGAGCACTGCTGGAAAAATCCCAAACCTTCCCTGAACTCCTCCCTTTGAAAACAGAACAGGTCGGTCCCTAAGTCTCCCAAACTCCAGTTTTAATTCAAAAGTCAGAGAAGGCACAGGGCAACATGACAGAGAATTTAAGTTTTAATCCTGCGGAAGCAGGGAATTGCTTTATTACAAGCACACCTACGTGTGCCAATGAAACGCTTCATTGTCGGTGTATTGTTGCTCCGTTTGAGGAAACAACGGTGACAATTGTAAGATATTTTTCTGTCATGGCATTACTTCTCTGGGTGTTTATTTGTGGGTGATGGGGAGATTTCCCCCAGGCAGGCTGTAGGTGGAGCTGTTACTTCTAGAGCAACGTCAGCTCTTCAGCGAGACACCTCAGCGGCTGGAAGTAGGCTTGTACTCGTTTTTTATGCTAGCTGAAAAAACCCTGAAAATATGTTTATTTCTGCCTACCTTTTACCTGAGGAATCTGAGAAATCTCAAGTCTCATTTTCAGTGGTCTTGCTGCAAGGGTCACAGCATTTTTCAGAGATGTGAATTGGGAACATTCTTAGTCTAATTAAGCAGCAGAGAAGGCTGATTCTTTAACAGATGTATCCTGATTCTAAAGTGATTCTCAAACGTTTTAAGCTTAATTAAAAAACAAAACCAACAACAACAACAAAAAAATAAAACAGAAGCTTCTAAAGAAAAAAAAAAAAAAAGAAAAGAAAAATCACATCTTCTATTGATCAAATTTGATTCTGTTTTTCTCTGATTTTATATCCTTGATGGTGTCCCAATTCTGAATACAAAAATTTCCACTATACAAATAAATGAACAGAAAAAATAAATGTGGGTAGTTTGCATCAGAGAAAGGGGAAAACCAGTGATAAAAAACAAAACAGGAAAAAATGGCACACATCTTCTAAAGTCACATATAGAAACGCAAGTGACCTTGTATAATCAGCCATCTCATGCAGT